TGTTTCTGCTGACCTTTTAGTAAAATATTCTGTATTAAAGATCCTAGCTCGTTGAATTCTATACTGTTGTATATAAAGAACGTTTAAATCACAATTTAAAAAAACACGAGTTTCTTCTGTAATATCTTTCTTTTTTCTTCAAAATAAATGAATATATATTGTTAACATACTCATCTTTAGCATTTCTCAATTATTTTATTATTTTATTTGATCACATGCTCTGATTTTGTTTGACCCCCAAAATTCAGTACGGTATGATCATAACATTATGAATACTTTATACTAGCAAAAACCCATTGGTTTCGAGGTGGGCTCTTTGGTTTGACGGGTTGTTGAATAGTAAAGTGGTTTTTTTAGCGGAGCAAATAATTTTCTTTAGGGTTAATTATCATTCTACTGACCAGTTTACACATTAAAAATACTCGTGTTTAACATCAAGACACAATAAGACATAAGGTTTGAAAAAAGGCCCAAAAAACCAAATCAACTGATATGCTGATTTATTTGCCGATTTATATCAAATGCCAACTGCATACCCACTTTACACATTATTGTTTTGAGATATTGTTCTTTAAATTTTCAAAAAACAATAGTAAACTACTTGAGATGTACATTTTTTTTTCATTTTCACATCATTATTATGGTCCTTTTTATTGTCCAGACCAAAAACATTCCGCGCTGGTTCTACATGGTTGTCGTATTTTTAGGTATGGGAAAATGCATTCTCCCGTATGTATTTCATATCAAATGAGTTTTTCTAATCAAGAATACGCTTTTTCCGCATGTATTCTGTAGCAAATTTTTATAGAGGCATTGATTCGTTGAAATGAGGTTTGACTGAATTTGTCTTATTGTTATTATCACCAACATATTTTATTTTTAAATCTGGTTTGATTTGATTTGAACAGCTTTTTTGAATTCGATTTGATTTGATTTGGTGCCTTAAATGTACGTGAACACACATTTGACATCTGATGAGTGATTCTAAATAATGATGATGATTACAAAAAGAAAGGTTGATCGAAGTTGATTTCAACTTATACTCTACAAAATTAAATATCAAAAAGTTTCTATTAGTTGAAGTCAAGATGATTCATTTGAATACTTCTTTTCTATAAAATATAAACAGAAATTTCAAATGTTACATCAATCGATCATCAAGAAAAATCTTTTCAAAAAAAAAAAAAAAAATGGCAGAAAAATTCTCAGAATTGATAGATTTTAATCAAAAAAGTTTTTGGATTTCTTTTGCTTCAATTCTATTTAATCCTGTTTTTTGGAACTTGGTAGCAAGGAAAGGTGTGAATACGTATTTTTTGTTTATGACATATGTTTCTGGTTTAATAAATAATAAATAAAACATGGATGGATAGATAGATAGATAGATAGATAGATAGATAACTAAAAATTCTTATTTCTTCTTTTGGAACCAAAAATATAAAAAAAACAGAGTATAAAACACACTTTATAACTCGTTTGTCAGGTGGAAATCCTTATTTCGGTTGTTATAGTTTGGCTATCACTATTAAATTCTTATTCTCGTAATTTGCCAGAAACGGAAAGAAATACATTCATCACATTTCCTTTCTATCATTTGACCATCTTTCATAACAAAATCAGACGAACATTATTATGTCACAAAGAAATTTCAAGGATCTCCTTTTTAATAGCAGGGAAAAACTAAAACAGAAAAATCAATAAATTTTGTAATGACACCACCAAAATTATTCTGTGACTTGTCTGGTCTGTTGCACATTGATTGATATACAATGGATGATAATATTAATGAACAAATGAAGGAAAGCATTTTTTTATTTAAGTTAATATATATCTGTATGTAGATTATTATATAGAATGAAAATAAATAAATGAATGATTTATTCTGATTTTTGTTGTTTACTAGATCTTTCTTGTTCTCGTTTAGCATAGATCATTGATGTAAATGGCCTAATAACAAGTAAAGAGAGGAAAACGATTAATTATTATTATCATTTCAATGTGTATATTCATATATAGATAAATATCAATCAATCAATCAATCAATCATTAGAGACTTTAGAAGGAAAAACTGGCCCATCATCTTGACTTGCATCCAAGTAAACAAGAATAGCAAAAGCTGGTAAGAGAA